TTTCCACCGCGGGCTCCACCGTTGAAGCACAGAGGCACGTTGATTGTGAATTTTGACTGGACTCTGGGTTTAAACGGCCTCCCCTGTTGTAACTCTTTGACCCGCCCCTACTGGACATTTGTGGAAAAAAGCTTCACGGCTCCATCGGAGTTCTCTGGGATAAATGAAGATTCTGAAATGTGTGCCCCTGTGAATCCTGCATGGATTCCTTAAAGAGTCCTGGCTATGCGTTGAGGACAGCTGGTGGATTTGTGTGGGTGTCGGCAGGCGTTTCAAGGGTGGGTGGGTGCCCTGAGAAAATACTTGACTGTAAAATAAAAAAAATGCGATGATGATAAAAAAATAATAATGAATAAACGGGTAACATTTCTCTTCACCGGTGTTTATTCCACATGGAGACGGTTGCCCGTAGCGACGCTGCAAATGGAATCATTTGCGAGGCCAGAAAGGACGCGCGCACGTGTGTGCGGGCAATGGCGCAAGGCAGGATTTCCACCAGATCTGGGTCAGTTAAAGAGTAAGCGGCCGCACTGGGAATGTGGAATTTCCACTTGTTTGGCTCGTGGTTGCCAACGGAGATGAACGCCGCGACGTCTCAACAGCGTGAGCGTGGAGACACTCTGGCATGCCGCGGAACCGACACCGGCACCGGCACATCAAGGGGGATTATTGTCGCGGTGCGTAAATTGTGCCGTGCCCCGCCCGGCTCGTCACGGCCTTTTACGTTCTTGGGACCGGCGGAAGAAGAGCGTGCCGGGATTTTTGGCGCGTTGCCCCGTAGACCAGTCTGCCCAAGTCGTCGTCACCGTCGACTTGTTACGGTGGCTGAGCATCGGCCCCGGTCGGTGTAAGTTTACTGGGCCGGATGTTAAACTGACGCCCACTGGCGATGCAAACGCAAAAGTTTCATTGTTTTGTAGATGCGGTAGACGCGCCTAGGTTGCGTATCCCGCGCTGTCCCGCTCTCGTTGAAGCTTCCGCTTGTGAGGAAAGCAGGGTTGTCATCGGGTTTACGGAGCTACGTGATGAGCAGAAGAGGGCATTAACGGTTAACCCCAGGCTTCACACGTACCTTATGTACATGTTATGAACTTCTTTCGCACCGTACGTAGCCAACCGTGCTAATTGTAGGCGCGGGGGGAAGGACGACAAACTAAACGCGAAAAGCAGTTGTAAAAGAATACATTTTCAAATTAGATTTACAAGTGCATACCTCCGGTAGCTTCCTAATATTGGAAGGAAGAGCGTTCCAGACGGCCGCAGAAGCGCACCTGAAAGCGCACGATGCGGTGACCGTCGTCTTTGTTCGATGGTTAGCCGAAAGCCACTGCTGCGAGGATGAGCGGAGTTTGAAAAGAGGGCCTCACAGCGGAGTCTCTCGATGTTACGCTCGTGAAGAAGGGGGGACCACGATGGCATTCTGTGCCAGGCCTCTATCGACCTCTCGGCTTCCACTGTGCAGTGTGGTGCAAAAACATCCGTTGTTTTATTGCCCGCTGAACAGCACGGTGAAGTATGCTTAAATAATCCCCGTGGCCTGCACAGGTGTTAGGGGGGGGGGGGCACTCATCCAGCAGTGGAGTGACAAACGGCTAAGTGTGTATGTATGTTGAACTTCTTTCGAGCCGTACGCAGCCAACCGTGAAAGGTGCTATACTGTATGTGTACGTGCACAATAGCTCCGCACCCTAATGTATCTGGTAACCCCACTGGGAACCGTACACCAGCAGTTATTTATAGAAGCAGGATGGTGGTGGAGTGGTAACACTCGCGCGCCTCGCAGGCAGAAGCACCTGGGTTCGATTCCTGACTCTGGCGCTCTTCTGTGTGGAGTCTGTGGGTTCTTCCCGTCTTCTGCGTGTGTTTCCTCTGGGTTCTCTAAATTAAAAACTAAAACTATTTTATTTTGCCAGGCAAGGCCCACTGAGCTGTGAAGCTCTTTTTCAGATGTGACAAATAATAGCTCAACGAAGTGGATTACCACGTGGACATTTTATAGCAGCCAAATACTCTCAACGTATATTTCTAAATGTGGGGGGGAAAAACCGGAGGACCTGGAGAAAAATCCATGCAACCAAGGGGGAAAGAGACACAATCTCCAAATGTATAGCGGGTGTCAGGGTCGGCATCGAGACCACGACCTCCTGCATACCAGGCAAGGGAGTTAACATCCTGCCACTGTGGTGCCCAAATTTCCTCCCATAGATAAAAGATGCAATGTAATTGGTGTTGTCCACACATCCCAATGTAGCAAGACCCTCCCGAAAAAGAGTCTTCGGGCTCATTGTGACCTTTCTGGATGTAAACGAATAAAATCTTTTCACGTTTCTGCAGACGAATCCTTGTTTGATTGATGAAATAAAATAACACCTAGTTGCCTCTTGAGGCACTTCTGGGTCCAAATGACGAGTGCTGTCATACGCAGGGTTTCCCAGTCTCCAGTCCTCGTGACCCACCACCAATCATACGCCTGATGATTGTTGTTTAACGCGTCCAGAGCGATGCACTGAGAAATTCACGCGGTCTGCATTAATAGGGCCTGTTCGAATTAAGGTTGAGATCTCAGTGTGTGTGTGTGCGCGTTGCGCTATGAACCCGGCGACCTGAGTTCGATTCCCGCTCACGGCCACCAACACCAGTGACGATTATCTGAACCGGCCCTGGGCCTCCCCATAGGTCGACTCGACCTTAAACGAGTACCTGGTGCGGTGTAAAACAAAAACAAAAACCCCATCAGCGCAAGGGAGACAAAGGCGGCCCGGGCGTGCGGTGTTGCTGACCAGACACAACCAGTCGTGCGCGGTGCCGGCCTTCATAGCGGCTGCTCACTCGCAGCCCTTGCCACGACAATCGGCTGGAGGCTCTGTACGGGGAGGGGGATCTTTCTATCTTTGCGCGCACGTCAAGACACACGTGCGCGCGCTCACACGTGCACGCGCACGCACGCATGTGCACGGACCCGCAGGTGAATATTCGCATGTGCTGTGCGTGTGCACGCGTGCACCACGTGTCGCGTTCGTGCGTTGCTTTCTGGGTGCGCACAATAAGAGAAGGCGATTGACGCAGGAATGAATGCATGCATCCAGCAGTGGACTGACCATGGCTGCTGCTGCTGTTGACGATCATGACGACGGTGACTTTTACGACGCAGCGAACGAAAGGGACGTATCCAGTTATGTATAATGTCTGTAGTAAGTGGGAAGACAAAGGCGCGGGGTGTTGGCTACCTACCTCCTCGTGTACCGTCCTGGTCTTCATTGACGCTCGCTTAACAGCACTTTCTCCAACAGTCTGATAAGGCTATACAAGGGGATCCTTTGTTTTTTTGCACTTGTTCCGTGTGTGTGTTCGCGCACGGGATCCCTGTGTGCACGTGCGCGGTATATACAGTGAGGGGAAAACAAGTATTTGATCCCCTGCTGATTTTGTACGTTTGCCCACTGACAAAGAAATGATCAGTCTATGATTTTAATGGTAGGTTTATTTGAACAGTGAGAGACAGAATAACAACAAACAAATCCAGAAAAACGCATGTCAAAAATGTTGCAAATTGATTTGCATTTTAATGAGGGAAATAAGTATTTGACCCCTCTGCAAAACATGACTTAGTACTTGGTGGCAAAACCCTTGTTGGCAATCACAGAGGTCAGACGTTTCTTGTAGTTGGCCACCAGGTTTGCACACATCTCAGGAGGGATTTTTTCCCACTCCTCTTTACAGATCTTCTCCAAGTCATTAAGGTTTCGAGGCTGACGTTTGGCAACTCGAACCTTCAGCTCCCTCCACATAATTTCTATGGGATTAAGGTCTGGAGACTAGCTAGGCCACTCCAAGACCTTAATGTGCTTCTTCTTGAGCCACTCCTTTGTTGCCTTGGCCGTGTGTTTTGGGTCATTGTCATGCTGGAATACCCATCCACGACCCATTTTCAATGCCCTGGCTGAGGGAAGGAGGTTCTCACCCAAGAATTGACGGTACATGGCCCCGTCCATTGTCCCTTTGATGCGGTGAAGTTGTCCTGTCCCCTTAGCAGAAAAACACCCCCAAAGCATAATGTTTCCACCTCCATATTTGACGGTGGGGATGGTGTTCTTGGGGTCATAGGCAGCATTCCTCCTCCAAACACGGCGAGTTGAGTTGATGCCAAAGAGCTCCATTTTGGTCTCATCTGACCACAACACTTTCACCCAGTTGTCCTCTGAATCATTCAGATGTTCATTGGCAAACTTCAGACGGGCATGTATATGTGCTTTCTAGAGCAGGGGGACCTTGCTGGCGCTGCAGGATTTCAGTCCTTCACGGCGTAGTGTGTTACCAATTGTTTTCTTGGTGACTATGGTCCCAGCTGCCTTGAGATCATTGACAAGATCCTCCCGTGTAGTTCTGGGCTGATTCCTCACCGTTCTCATGATCATTGCAACTCCACGAGGTGAGATCTTGCATGGAGTCCCAGGCCGAGGGAGATTGACAGTTCTTTTGTGTTTCTTCCATTTGTGAATAATCGCAGCAGCTGTTGTCACCTTCTCACCAAGCTGCTTGGCAATGGTCTTGTAGCCCACTCCAGCCTTGTGTAGGTCTACAATCTCGTCCCTGACATCCTTGGAGAGCTCTTTGGTCTTGGACATGGTGGAGAGTTTGGAATCTGATTGATTGCTTCTGTGGACAGGTGTCTTTCATACAGGTAACAAGCTGAGATTAGGAGCACTCCCTTTAAGAGTGTGCTCCTAATCTCAGCTCGTTACCTGTATAAAAGACACCTGGGAGCCAGAAATCTTTCTGATTGAGAGGGGGTCAAATACTTATTTTCCTCATTAAAATGCAAATCAATTTATAACATTTTTGACATGCGTTTTTCTGGATTTTTGTTGTTGTTATTCTGTCTCTCACTGTCCAAATAAACCTACCATTAAAATTCTAGACTGATCATTTCTTTGTCAGTGGGTAAACGTACAAAATCAGCAGGGGATCAAATACTTTTTTCCCTCACTGTATGTATGTTGAGCAACTTTTGCACCATATGTAGCCAAGCGTGCTCATCGTAGATAGCGTTAATTGATTAGCGCTTCACGTGGGACGTGTTTAACGATCGTCGGGCTCATGCAGCATGGTTGTTTTTAAAGGGCGGGTAGTTAATTGGCCAAATGCAGAAAGACTTAGTCACGTTGGCTGGAGTTTGGGATATTCTGGTTATACAAACGTTCCTCCGTTGTCCTCCGGTTCACCCCACCCCCCGCAGTTAGAAAAATGCATTTAGATAATTTTGCTGTTCGAATATTTCCACGTAATAAGCCACTTTGTTGAGCTATCATTTGTGGCCAGGTCGCTCCTGAAAAATAGCTATATAGCTAGGTGGGTTTTGCCTGGTGATATAAAAAAGTTGTTTAGTTTAATTCGTACTTTTTAAAGTGATTTGTTTACCTTCCCTATACTTTGCACTCCTATCGTGTGTTTTTGTTGTTGTAACCTTCTTGACCCCCCGGCGCCTCCTTCTTGGACATCTGTCGAAAGAGAGCTTTCATAGCTCATCAATTCCTCCCACAGTAGAAATACAGATTCCGACTCTGATCTGATTCTGATCGTAGAGGATGGCCATCGTTGACTCCCCCCACCCACCCACGCGCGCGCTCTGTACGGACGCGGGCGTGAGGGGGGCCGCGTGCGTGGGGTGTCGGTGGTTGTCGCGGTGATGACGGCGGCGGCGGCGGCGCGCGCCCACGTTTGGTATGTCGAGGGGGTGCCGTTGTGTACCCTGTCTGGGTTTGGCCGGGCCGAGCGCTGGCGCTGATGGCAGCGTGCGCAGAACCTAACCTCACGCCGCCGCAATGACCCTACATGGCGCGGCCGCCGCGCATTTTTTAGAGCCGCTCTCTCCGCACGTGTTTTTCATTAAAAGCCAGCGGGCGTCGCTATGTACGTCTGAGCGGCCTCCTCCTTCTTGACGTACGGCCGATGTAGGTGCAGCGCAACGACTACTGTCTCGCATTCAGGTTGGTCAAAGCCCAGATAACTGTGTCAGGAGCAGCGGAGTGCATCGCCGTGATGTCTGCCTTCGTATTTGTGGATCGGGGGGGGGGGGAGGAGGTTGCGTCTTTGCATGTTGTACTACAGTCTGTTCTGGATGACTCGTAGTCGCGCACTGCTGGAGTTTTTTTTCTTCCATTTGTGCATCAGGTATCCACATCTACCGCCACGGTTTGTTGCAGTGGATGAGATTTGGGAGGGGATCCGTGGGCTTCGTGGAAGGTCAAACCCACAAGGGGGCCGAGAACGGTGGTGTAGTGGTTCCTACCGCTGCGCTGTGTAATTTTATCAATGCAAATTTCGTCTCCGAAAGTCTGGCGACCAAGGTGAAGGCGCAAGAGCACGTAAGGCCCCACTGAGCTGTGTACAGTAGCTCTCTTTCAGAAGCGACCTGGCCACAAGTGATAGCTCAGCGAAAGGGGGCTTATCACGTGGACATTTATAGCAGCCAAATACTCGTGTCGATTCTGAACGTGGAAGGAAAAACCACAGGCCCTGGAGAATATTCCACGCGACCACAGGGAGAGAGACGTGCAAACTCCAAATATACAGCAGGCGTCAGGGTCGGGATCTAACTCATGACCTCCTGTATACCAGGCGAGGTAGTTAACATCTCGGCACCGTCGTGCCCATGGTTGTGGGACACTCTCAGGGCAGATCTTTGTGTCTACTGTGGAGCAGTTGCGGGATCTGGCGGAGGGTACAAAGCGTTGCGGAGGTGCGGCGGTATTGAATGTAAAGTGTAAGCTTATATCTCTCCATGCTTCTTTGCGCAGTTTTCAGGTTTTTGTTCAGTTTGCGTCTTATCACATGTGGTTAAACGCCGTTGTTGTTTACCAAGTCCTATTAAACATGGTACTGTAGGTGGATTAGCGGGAGAGCGAGTGGCTCGTAATTGTCAGGTAGCGATTTGAAATTCTGCTTGGTGTTTGACTCAGCCCAGTATCATCATCATCATCCCTCCGGAGTTGACACAATGACTACCGCTTCGTGGGGAAATTGCCAACAGTGGTTTTCCAGTGGATGGACTCGCCTCCGTCACACGAACGTGGAATATCCACAACTGTCTCGCGGCTGTGAACGGGATGCGAGTGCCTCCTTGGCGCTCCTTCGAGCAGGAAATCACGGTGACCTCGCTCCACAAAATGGAGGCATCGCAGGCATTGGGGGTTTTTCGCCGATGGTGCGGTATCGAGGAGAGCGTGATCGGCCTTAGCAAAAGGTGGGCTAGAGGGGCCCCCAGAGTTGCCGAACAAATCTCTTACCTACAGTGCATAGGCAACTTTAAACCCCTCCCCACCCTCCACGAGATAGTACGCAGCAGCCTTGTGATCACCAAGCGTCACTGTCAGCAGCGAAATAATGATCTTGCTGGGACCACGCGGCCGCAGTGCATATACTCCGAGTAAAATAAACGGCGACGTCCTTTGCAAAAGTTGCAAGCAGCTGCGGAAAATAAACAAACAGAGTTCGTCGTCATCGCGTGTTTGCCGTGGACATATTTGGAAGCGGTGCACGCACGCACGGTGATGGATGCATAAAAACGTCTTTTTTTATTTTTAAACAAAAATAACATTCCCACCCCTCCACTGTCCCACAAGGCTTTCATTGAGCAGCGCTTACCACGCTATTGGCCTCATTGTAAAAATGTTGAACTATCATTATTATTATCACGTGGATATTTTCGGTCCAATAAAGGCAACAAATTGTACCTGTACGGAGCAATGAATGGCCGCCTGCTTGCCTGCCCAAATACAGAGCAGTCTGTTGGTCTTAGTTGATGTGTTCATGTGCCCTATACAATAACAGCTGGAACGAACAGAGGAGTTGCAGTGGTTTTAAAAATGGTAGTCAAAAGTGTCTCTCTCGAGCACTGGGCGGGGGGGGGGGCGCTTTGTCTCAGCTGGTGACCCCAAACCAGAGGTGCAAATTGCATTTTTGACTACGATCCAAAACAGTCTCCTCTTGCCTTTCAACAAAGCGGTAGTCAAATTTTGATTTAAGCGGTAGTCCTCTTGGCAACCCCTGAAAGGTGATGGGCTGGCTTTGTGACATTTCAAGTGGGGACATTTGCGATCGTGAGCCGAACGCTCCTCATCTCAAAAGAGCCACCCAGCCGGATTTAAAGTGCTCGGCGCCCGAGTCGACTAGAGCGCGAGTCGACTCGTCGGCGAGAGGAGGGCCCGCATTGAACACGGCCCCCACGTGATGTCAAGGCCACGTATGACGTTAGCAAACCCACGGGATATCGAGCCCTCGTCTCATTCGTTGGCATCTGTTTTACTCATCGGGGATTGATTTGTGGGTTTTTAGAAGGTAGGTTTACGTGTGCTTGTACGTATTATTATCATGAAATGTTGAACACCGTTTGCATGCGCAGTGCAGAGCTGTTGATTTCTAGAGTGCCTCCAATTTATATGTGTGTATATTAAACTTCTTTCACACCATACGTAGCCAACTGTGCTAATTGGAGGTACGGGGGAAGGACAACTACACTAAACACAAAACGCAGTTCTCAAGAAATGCGTTTTCAATCTAGATTTAAAAGAGCGTATCTCCAGTGGCTTCCTATATCGGAAGGAAGAGCGTTCCAGGCGGCCGCAGAAGCGCGCGATGCGGTGACGGTCCTTGTTTCCATGGCCAGACATTTTAACACGTAGGCTTTAACACGTAGAATGCCCCCATTGCTGTAATGTTCGAATTTGGCAAAACCACGTGCCAAATTAGAAAATGCCCCTTCCCCCCCCCCCAAATGACTCAATTTAGACTACAACACAGCAAGCGTTACCGCCGACTGGCGGACTAATGCCCCGCATTTTCTCTCATCGTGGCCGCTTGAGTTCTCACCTGGTTAAACAAAATAAGCAACTTGACTATCCCGGTACGCCGGTCTATTGCTAATGGCATTTGACTCGCTCAAGCCTCGGGCACCGAGCCCAGGGACAGGGCTGGGGCTGTTGTCTGCTGGGAGTAGGATGGAGAGAGAGCAGTGGGAAATCCGGTCGGGGTCGAGCACAACTCTGGTGGCAGTCGGTCAGAGATGGTCCCACGGGAGGACGTCTTGTGGGGCCCTGAGCGGGAACCCGGCAGGGATGTGGTCACGTGGTGAGCCTGCGGCGATAGTGGTGGGAGTTGTCTTGGGAGTCACGCTAACACGGCCGCCGCGTGTCTGCCCATTGCCTTTCATGGCCACGCTCGTCGGCAGGGGGCCGTCCCGCGCTCGCTCTCGGATGCCACCGGCGCCGGGCTCGCGGCACCAGGGCCGGGTGTCACTGGCGGAGAGGAGACCGGAGTAGGGAGCGGAGCCGGTGGCGGCGCGCACCTCGCTCGCAGCAGGTACCGCTACCCCCCTTCCTGCCAAACCCGCCCACCCCCACGCCCACCCCCCCTGCTCCCCACCCATCCCCTTAGTCCAGCGGTTCCCAACCCCTCTGGACCCGCGGACCACTGTGAACCCTCATATCATTTTCACGGACCTGCGCCCAACACGCAATGTTCACAATTGAAACGACTCGTGAGTAACCGATGCCAGCCATCAGGCGTATTCGGTCAAAAGCCAGCCGTGTTGATGACTCGTGAATACGATGTAAAATAGCCGTGCAAACGGGTGGCGGTTGTGCAACGGGCGGCTGCACAGAGCGCTTGGAGTGCATCATTCTTCAATCCCACCCCCCACCCACCCCGTGCTACAGCCGCCGTCGCCTTTCTCGAGAGAGTGTCTGAAGAGTCGAGGACCGAGCGCTCCCTTCCGAGCCGTCGGCTGGAGGACGCTGGAGGACGCTGGTCTCCGCGTTGCCATTTGGCATCGTCGTGCCTGCTGGCGCTGTGTGTTGCGAGGAGGTCAGAGGTGGCCGTGTGGCTCAGAGGGTTGAGAGTTCTACATCAGAGCGCTGAGATGCCACAGTTGAATTTGGGTTTTATCCACCCAGGTTAAAGCTTCGTTCTCCAAATCAGAATACCAGAGGAATCCGATGAGCTGTGGAACTCTCCTTGACAGATGTCTCAATTGTTACAAGTTGGTGGTCTCAGCCTGGTCACCAATAGCTGCACAATAAACCCCATTTCGCTTCTGTTGGCTGATTCCAGCTCTGAATTAAGTGGTTTTGAAGTCAGTCATGAAAACTAGATCCTGACAAGCTACCTTGGTGTAACCCTCTTAAGCTTCAGGTATTATCACCGCACCTTAAGAATGCAAATGGTGTCAAGGTTGCTGATGCCCTTCAATATCTACGCCTGATTTTGCGAACATTTACAAACAATTCCACCCCTCTTCACAACCCAGGCAGGGCGAGCCCTCCAGTTGGGAACGGCTGCGCCGGGGCTGCCTGCTCCACATTAGCCAGTGCCGTGCGTCGGGTTGCTAAAGCGAAACTGCGAATGTTCAAATAAGGCGTAGAACGTTTTGAACATTTCCTATGCCAGTGTTTAAATTTAGGTGGCTGCATAGCAGAGTGTCCTTTGGTGCTTTGCCAACGCATTGGGGTTCACTTTTAGCCACCTACCCTCCCCCCCGCCTCCCTGGGTGTTACTGTCGCCGAAACTGATAAATAGATACATTTGATACGTGCAGCAAATCGTGCGTGTGAGAAACCAATCGCGTACTATTTTTCCAAATGACATGCGCACGCTATCTTGTCGTCGGAGAGGAGAAAAGACGATAAGGACACAACGGAGGAACGGCCGCAAAAAATTATTGTGTTTTAAATCCGTTCTTCATCCCGTTACGCACGTACGTGTGTGTGTGTGTTTTTGTGTTTTGGTGTATGTGTGGGGAGCGGTGGTGTAGCGGTTAGCGTGCTGCACTACGAACCCGGCGACCCGAGTTCGATTGCCGCTCACGGCCAACATCGGTGACGGATATCTGAACCGGTCCTGGGCCTCCCCGAGGTCGACTCAGCCTCAAATGAGTACTTGGTGCGGTGTGTAAACATCGCCACTCGGGGACAGGCTGCCGGGCGTGATGCTGAACACCAACCCACCCCCTCGCGCGCGTGCCAGCCGTCATCGGTGCAACTCTGTATCAGCACTTGGCCCAACAGTCTGTCAAAGCCTATTTACGGGGGAACTTTGTCTTTTGTTTAGCGGCGCGATGGGGGGCCCGCTGAGCTGCCACCGCGGTGGCCCCGGGAGGGAGTACGGAGGACTCCCGTACGGCGTGGACCGCATCAACATCAACACGGCCACGGAGGAGCAGCTGATGACGCTGCCGGGCGTGTCGCGCGCCATCGCGCACAGCATCGTCGAGTACCGGCAGCAGATATCCGGCTTCCGCAAGGTGCCCCCCCCCCCGCCCTGACTCGCCCTACAACAACAACAACAAGAGCTGCCATTCGCCACTGTGTGGCCGGTGATGTCACCACAGTGCTTGCGACAGGCGAGGTGCACGTTTAGGCCATTGCGTGAAGTGAGGAAGAAATCGCTGCTGATAGGTTAAGGGACAGACCCAGAGGTGTTATGGGTTTGACTGAGTGAGTTGACTGACAGATGATCCACCCACACGCCATAACAACCACACAACACTCAGCTGGTTTTCGTTCTGTATTTTTGTATTTGCATGTCCCAGCAGCCTATGACGAAATCTCAACTGAACGATTTGACCAGGTCAGGCCCTCTGAGTTAGGTGTAGCTCTTTTTCAGCGGCTACCTGGCAGCAAATGATAGCTCAACGAAGCTGCTTATCATCATGTGGAAATGTATAGCAGCCAAATACTCTAAACGCACGTTGATTTTAAATGTTGTGGGGAAAAACCAGAGGACCTGAAGAAAAATCCACTCGACCATGGGGAGAACATGCAATATACAGTCGTCAGGGTCAGGATTGAACCCATAACCTCCTGTATACCAGGCGAGGTAATTAACGTCTTGCCTCCATGGTGCCCAAACTCATCTGGAATGTCCCCCGATCCTGTGAGACCTCCGAAGCTATAAGCAGGTTTTGATTCTGGACAGTGTTTGTTTGGGGGGGGGGGCACCACCGTGCACAAAATGTTTTTGGTTTTGGGTGCGTGCGTTCTACATTGTCAGCTCTGCTCAGGCGCGCACACAACAACCGATAGCTCACGCTCGTCAATCGCACTTCCCGAGAGAGGAAATCGTTTGTAATCGGTGATGTTTGTATGTAGCTATGTTGCTGCACTTCTTTTCGCATCGTACGCAGACCATCGTGCTATTCGGAGGTGCAGGGGAAGGACAGCAAACTAAACATAAAGAGTTTTATATAGAAATGAGTTTTTGCAATGTAGATGATTTAAAAGTGCAAAGCTCCAGTGGCGGCTTCCTAATGTAGGAAGGAGGAGCGTTCCAGACGGCGACAGAAGCACATCTGAAAATCGCACGATGCGGTGATTTTCTCTGTTAGATGGCCGGCCAAAAGCCGTTGCTGCGACGATAACTGAAGTTCACGTGGTGGTTTATATTCTTTGACGAGATCACCGAGGTTGTGGGCGATGGCCTTTGCTATGCTGAGTAAAGGGCCATTGCCCCAAATGTCTCCTCTTGTGTATATTCTCCTTTGGGGGGGGGGGGGGGGCAGCATTAATGACGGACGTGTCTTGACGAGCCAACCCCCGACCCAGGATTCTGACTCGACGATCTTCCGATTGCGAGTCGGCCTCTCGTGTTTGTCGCGCTTCCCTCCACTGCCGTCGCTCCGTCTCCACTTGGACCGTGCCTCTCGCCTGCCCGCCTGTCCGTCGCTGTGGCCCACCTTCTCCGTTGTGTGGAAATGGTCGTTCGCGGCCCAGCTCTTGATCGAGAATGGATTATGGTGATTGTTTGCCTGGGGGTTTTTGAGAAAGATATAAACGTGATAGACAAAGACAAAAGTCCCCCGTTATCGCCTTAATAGACTGTTGGGGAAAGTGTTGTCAGCACCGATGAAGTCCGACACGGCGCATGAAGGGGTGGGTGGCCAGCACCACATCCGGTCGCCTTTGTCTTCCTTGTGGCCATGTTTGCACACTGCACCAGGTACTCGTTTGAGGCTGAGTCGACCTTGGAGAGGCCCAGGACCGGTTCAGATAATCGTCACTGGCGTTGGCCGTGCGCGGGAATCGAACTCGGGCCGCCGGGTTCATAGCGCAGTGCGCTAATCACGTGATGGATCGTTACGCCTTACCTTCGCCTCAGCTTTGTTTGAATTCACTTAAAGCCTGAAGCCCATTATTGATTGGCGTCCGGGAGTGAGGTGAGTGTGTGTGTGTGTTCGCTGCCGAGAAATCGGCCGCTAATGTGCACGGCGTCGTGCCGCGGCTTGCCACCCCCCCCCACCCCCGCTTCCGTCGCTGCCTCGCCGATGCGGCAAGAGAGGAGAGGAAAACTGCCGACACGGCCGGATGAGGTCATTGGCCTAGCTGGGTGAATTGGCACCTCGCTGTCGTGGTTACACACACACACACATACACCACCGTCGTGATCGTTTTTTTTCTTTTTACCCCCCCCCCCCAACATTTTTTGTAACTTTGCCCAGCTTGAGAAAGGCGTGAAATCTGTGGTGTAGCCCCACAATGTTTAATCGAGCCCTTGTTTCACGGAGCGCTCAGCGGTTTTGGGACGTTGGACATCGGTGGGATTTGTGGTTTTGGACACCTACTGGACATCCGTGTCTTAAAGAGCTTTAAAGCTCATCGGATTCCTCCAGTATAAATAAATGTTCCGATTTAGATTTTGTGGCCTGTGCTCATCAACCGCGATGTGAAACATGGAGAACACACGCCGGACACGAGCACCGATCCTAATTATGTGAAAAGCATCCGTTGCCCCAGGTATAAAATCATCAATCATCATGGGACCTCCTTTGCCAGTACCAAAATATGATGTTAAGATGTTAAGACACCAAACTGAAACCTTTTGCAAGGAATCATGTCTGAATTGACCACAATGCTTGTGGTCAGAATGCAAACAAAAAACGTAACTCTGAAAATATCTGCATTGTCCTTGAAACTGATTGGTCCACACCATAGGCAGCTTTCTTTTCAGCCTCGTCTCAAACGGTGTTAGACCAGAGGATGCCAAAAGGTGAACACAGCCCAAAGTGCAATACACTATCAGAGTAATGAGAGCTCGGGGTGAGCATCTACAGTACCAAAATATAATAATAGAGTTTTCCCCTTTTTTCTGGCCCAGAAAAAAGGGGCCACACAAAGGGGAAAAAACCTATTATCGTATAAAATTAATTGTCGCAAAATTACGTATGACGTGTCTTGAACTCCCTCTTGTCCACGCTAGGGGTGCTGCACTCACCTTTGCGTGCTACTGTAAGGTTATGTGCTAGGCTAATGTTTAATTTTCATCCTCAGAGCTGGAAATGTGCATCATTTAGTGAAATCAAATGTAATATTATGGGGTTATTTTTGTATAGACGCACTGCCAGCGGATCTTTAAGACGCCTCCCTCCCTCCAGCGAAATCTTTGTTTAATAGCTCATCAGATTAATCCAGTCTTAAATAAAGATTATAATTCTGAATATAGTATGATATCATACGATGATAAATTATGATGTCATCAGTACGATATCATCAGTATGATATTATAGTATGATAAAGTATGACATAGAGTGATATAATAGTATGATAGGGTATCGCTTGCATTTGCACGGGAGGGTGGGTAGAGAGGGGAGGCGTGACGTTGGCGTGACGTCGGCTTGACGCTGTGGGGGGGGGGGAGGGGGGGGTGCGCATGCACGCACCAGCCAGGCTTGACAACCCAGAATTTAAATGAGCGTAGTGAGTGTACGGCCTCAGATTTGAACCCAGAATCCACAACAGTTTGTGAATGGCCCAAAGTCTTGTTGCTATGAGAACCGCGCCAAGCCGGACTGCGTCGTGCCCCCACGAACTGCATAGCCTCCCCCCTCCATGTCCTGCACCGCTCCCCTTCCCTCCAGACGTCCTACTCAGTGGGGGCCTAAGCGTTCCTCCCCAAACGGGACCGCCAGCTTCACTCGGCCTTCGTTTGTCTCCCCGTGCCCCAGGTGGAAGACCTCGCGCTGGTCAGCGGCATCGGCGCCGCCAAACTCCAGCACATCCAGCCCGAGATCTGCGTGGGGCCCCTGGGCCCCGACGCGGCCGAGCACACGGCGGCGACGGCGGCGGCGACGACAACGTCCGCCCCGGGGGCCCAAACGCGGGCCCCGCCCGACGGCGGCGCCGTCCCGAACGAGAGCAACGGCAAGCCCGATGGTGCGCGCAGCAACGGGCCCCGGCCGGCGTCTCTCTACGCCAACGTGCCGCAGGGCCCCAACGGAGTCGCGGACGGGGCGGCGGGCGCGGCGGCGGGGGTGGCGGCGGCGGCGGCGGGGGCGGCGACCGGGTCGGGCCGGGTGGGGCGGCCTCCGTCGCCGTGCCTGCCCGGCGCGGACGGAGCGGAGGGCCGACCCTCGGTGCGGCTGGGCACGTGGGACCTCACGAGGTGCACGGCGGAGAAGGCGGAGAACCCCGGGGTCAGGGAGGTGATCGGCATGACGCTGCTGGAGAACGGGTGGGTGCCGCCCCCTCCCCCCCACACTCTGCCCCCCCCCCCCTCACCGCGTGTATCTGTCAACTCACGACATCCGAACGCCTTGGCATGACGGTTTTGAATCCACCGTGTGAGTGTTCGCAGCCTCTTGTGTCCGTTATCAACTGGGGAAGGCGCCCGCAGTAGTGCGTGGCGAAAGCCCAAGACGAGATATGCTCCAAACACAGCTCGGATATTCAGGGTTTAATATCAGAATAAACAATTAACCATCGGTTTTGCACCCTGAATAGCGTGGTCAAGCAAGCCCCATGAGCTACACAAGCATGGCCGAGGCCTTCATCCAGCAGTGGGCTGACGAAGGGGATGTTACGGGTTTTAAAAAACTATATTTTCGACGCAATGGGTTGGCACTTTCAATTGTTACACAACATGAACCTGGATCTGATGGTCACTTCCATGGCTTTTGGAAGTGATCGTTGAATCTAACAATGATTATCTAAAAAGTGATAACAAAAAAATCTGGAAAATGAATTTAATTGTGGGGATTGACTACCTGACAACAGGGAATCTTGAACATACGATAGCCATGGTGTCATTCACCGCACAAATAATTAATATTCCTTTCCCCATCTTTAGGATCAAACTCTTGGCTGTTCAGGATGTCATGGACAGAGCATCCTTGGAAAAGGTAAGGCTGGTGCGGCAGATTCCGTTCACTCCCAGTGCTCGCCAAAGCGTGATAAATGGGCATTCCACAGGGTAAGTTCAGATCCCAGTTCATCCAACCCATCTTCTCTTCGGGGTCAGTAAAATGAGGACCATTTGCGAGTAAGTCCGCGGTGCTTAGGGATACGCTGGCTCTGCTACAGGAATATAATTAACACCACTGGATCAGAGCCATCCCATTATTCCCCAGCGGAGATGAGCGCCCTTCCATAGTTCGTGTGAGCAGGGGAGATGCAAGGCAGGGGGGTGCGCCGCCACGGGTTTAAGAAAACGCGAGGTTACGGTTTGTGGTTACGCGAGGCCCCCGCAGCTTGAGAAGGCTAAGAACGGGACTTGTGTGTGAATGCGCACACACACACACACATGTGCGTGATGTGTGTGTGTGTGTGTGGGGAGCAGTAGTGCAACAGTTAGTGTGCTGCCCTATGAACTCCGGCGACTCGGGTTCGATTCCTGCTCACGGCCAACACCGGTGACGATTATCTGAATCGGTCCTGGGCTTCCCCTAATTCGACTGGGCCTCAAACTAATACCTGGTGCGATGTGTAAACATCGCTACTGATAGCCACCCACCCCCCAGTGTGCTGTGCCGGCCTTCATTGGTGCGCGCTGACAGCACTTACCCCAACAGTCGGTTAAGGATTTGTATTTGATGTGTGTGTGTGTGCGACTATCCACACAGATCTGCATGGAGATGAATGAGCCCATCACGCCGCAAGTGAGCGGCTGGGAGCCCCTTCTCCGCGGTTCGTGGCGGGGCGTGCTGTCCGAGCCTCCGCAAAAACTCCCCGGACAGGTATGAGTACACCCACAGAGGCAAAGATCCCCCGCGTAGCTTTTTACTGGCCGTTGGGGCAAGCAACATCCGCGAAGACCCTGTTAAGGCCAGCACGGTGCACGAGTGAGTGCCACGTTTGGCTACCTTTGTCTCTCCGGTACTGTTTATAGGCTATACGGGGGGGGGAGTCTTTGTCTTTTTCTTTTGATTGTGGCGGCGATGGTGGCGATGGTGGCGGTGATGGTGGCTCTTGCCCCCTTCCCAGGATGGGATCGGTTGTGAGCAGGGTCGCCTGGGCTTCCTGTGGGACACGGACACGGGCATCGAGCTGCTCGCAGCCTCCTCGCTGCACCTCCGGCACCGTGACGCGCTCGGGCACGACGCCCACATCTCCCCTTTCCTGGGCCACTTCACGGTAACCGTGCGTCGTGCGGCTCTGCCGTGGGCCAGGGCGTGCGCTCCCTGTAGCCGTAACAAAGAGCACGAGCGAGAGGGTCTGCTTCGGCTCCAAGCAGGCTGGTGGGCCGGTCCGTTGAGGGAGCCACTGCAATCCGGTGGCTCGACTCCACAGAGAGCAATGTGAGCGTGCGTACATGAATGCGCACGCGAGCACGCGCGCTTTGCATGTCCGCTTACGCCCAGGTACACGCTCTCTTAACATGCTAAGCATGTTGTATTTATGTACGTTGAACTTCTTTCGCACAGCACGTAGCCACCCGTGCCAATTTAGGTGCGGAGGAACGACAGCAAACTAAACACGAAAAAATATATATAGAAGCCGTACCGGTACATACACAGCGTATTGAAATATAAATGTGTTTCATTACCATTCTTGGGCAAAAACATTGAGGATGCTTGTATTGTGGCTAAGCGGCGTGGTCATTTTCAGGCAGGTTCTGCGTTGGGATATTTGGCCCAATTTCATTCGCGAGATCTCAAGTAATAGGAGAAAATTCACGCAGGCATGCAAGCGGTGTGCAACTCAAACCTCTGCACAGATGGATTGAAGAATCCATCGCTGTCCTGCCGTCTGGCCGACTCGCAGCGGTTGCGGTGTTTACTTCACTGGTGTGCGCCCAGCAAAGCCTCGCCGAGTCTCAGAACCCTTCAACAGGAGGGCCCTGCTGAGTGTTTTTGCAGTAGAGGAGAGAGGCGGGGTGGCGAGATGTGAACTACCGCGCCTGGTATACAGGAGGTTGTAGGTTCGATTCCGACCCTGACGCCTGCTGCTGTATATTTGGAGTTCGCGTGTCTCTCTCCCTCCGTGGTCACGTGGATTTTTCCTCCGAGTCCTCCCGTTTCCCCCCCTCCCTCACGTTTAGAATCAACGTGCGTTGAGAGTATTTGGCTGCTGCGATAAATTTCCACGCGATAAGCCACTTTGTTGATAACCAGGGCGCTTCTGAAAAGGAGCCATATCATAGCTCAGTGTGGGGCCTTCTTACCTGGTAAAATAAAAATGCTGAATTTTCGAGCGGTGCCGCTGCTGGTGTGTGAACGCGTTTGGCGTTGCGCGCAGGCCGGCGGGTTTGAGTTCATCCTGCTCAACGTGCACACGCGTCGAGCGGCCACGGCGGACGCGGCCCCCGCCGAGGACCCGTCGGTGCGGCGCGCCCTCGTGGAGCAGTGCCTCAGGGCGCTGGACGAGCACATCAAAGGTGAGGCTCATCGGGAGTGCGAGGTTCACTCGCTGGCTTGGTAAGCGTAGTGTTGCCAGCGCCTACGAGAGGCTGGATTCAATGTTCGGGGTTGATCACCACTCACGGCGCTCGCAATGCGGGTGGGAGCAGTGGCGCGGAGACACTTTCCTTTGCCGAGTGCGCCGTCCAAGCGCGTGTGCGCCTTTGTCCTCCTACGCTCGCGTTGTGTCGTCAAGAGGAGCGCGCGGTGCTGCTGATGGGCGGCTTCTCCTGCTCCCCCGAGGACGCGGCGTTCGACGCTCTGCGCGACGCCGGCTTCCGCCACTGCCTCCCGCCCGGCGAGGCCACGGAGCTCGGCGCGGGAGGCTGCGTCGACAACATCTGGATCAACCCGGCGATCCAGCGCATCTTCACCGGTGCGCGCAAACACCCGCGGCACGGTGTGGCCTGGCCATTTGTACGCGTGAACTCGGCCGCCCGCGTTCCATTCACGCTCACGGCAAATTGCAGTGACGATTAATTTAAACTGGCCCTGGGCCTCCCCTCGGTTGATTTGGCCTCAAATGAGTACCTGGTGTGGTGTGTAAATATCACCACTGGGGAGACAAAGGCAGCCAGGCATGGTGTTGCTGTGCCATCCTTCATAAGTGCTTGCTAACAATACTTGCCCCAACAGTCTCTTAAGGCTGTGCGGGGGATTTTTGTTCTTTGTGTCTGCCAGTCATTTCAGCGAGTCAACCCATTGCACCTGGCTCTGTCCCGTGACCTCTTGCCAGCGAGCCTTCGACACTTCACGTGGCCTCAGTGCACATAACCTGGCACAAGGTGCCATGGAGACGTCCCCCGCCACGTATTGGCGAATGGCAGCTGTTGTTGTGTGTCTGTGTGTGTATTTTCGGCGCTGTGTTTGTGTGTCTGGCTTTGTGTTATTTTAAGTTTATTTACCCAGGGGCGACGATTGCTATGTGTGTTTTGATTTTGTTAATTTTTCGAATTAAGCAAAATTGGACTGTGACGTGGGGACACAGTGGCCCATTCTTCTTAGAACATGGCGCGTATGGTATCATTAATACACGTGCAGCATTAACCAGGGTGGCCCGCAACAAATGTTTAACCTGCTCACAGCTGGGCCACGTGACCGGCCTTGTCGTCGGCTTGTGTGCGTCTCTGTAGCCTCGCGTGCCTTTTATGCGCGCACGCAGGCACGTGTACCCGCGTCCGTGTCTCTGCGTGCGTGCCCGTGTATACCCGTGCGTGCGTGTCTCTACGTGCGTGCCCATGTGTTTTCCTGCGAGTATGTGTCTCTGCGTGGGTGCCCGTGGATTTACCCGCACATCCGTGTGTCTGCGTGCGTGCCCGCGTGTTTGCCCGCACGTGCGTGTCTCTCCGTGTGTGTCCGTGTGTTTATCCACTGTCTCTGCGTGCGTGCGTGCGTGCCCGTGCCAGGCCGTGCGTGCGCCGTGCGCGAGGGCCTCTGCAGCAGCTGGATCCCCGACGGTTGGGAGTGGGGGGGGGCGGCATCACGACACTGCCCCGTCTGGGCCGAGTTCATGGCCGATGTGGACACGAGCGCATGACCCCTGGCCGTCCGGAGTGACCCCTGGCCATCCCGCGCGATCTCTGGCCGTCCGGCACGACCCCTGGCCATCCGGCGTGACCCCTGGCCGTCCGGCGTGACCCCTGGCCGTCCAGCACGACCCCTGGCCCTCCAGCACGACCCCTGCCCATCCGGCGCTAGCCCTAGCCATTCCACGTGACCCCCAACCCCCGCCATCTCCCACCCCGCACTGCCCTCCACAGAGAAACGCACGCGACAACCTCATAACCCAAGCGCCGCGCTGGATTGTGCTCAGCTCCACGTGAGGCCGAGCTGTGTTGCCTTCCCTTCGCGACGTTGCGTCCGTCTGACTTGGGGCAGGCCAAGAATCCACTGACCGCCGTGAGGCACGTTGGGTTTAAACCCGGGATGACTTGGGCTCAGTTTGTCCTCGGCACGCTGAGCCTACGTCTAGGCGTGCTCCGTGCGTGTAGTTTGGCTGGGCTAGGCTCTTGTTGGCCAATTTCTGCTGTATTTGGCCGTAACAAGGCTCACAAGGACGTGCTTTAAGGTGCCTTAGTTTGGCTGTTTCTGTACAGGAAAATCGTGCGACTTACATAGGGTGGGGTGGGGAAGGCTTAACTTTCTCACATACCTCCTACAATACAGATTAAGAAACACTATGTTTAACTAGCAATCATATTTATTTTATTTTTATGCTTTTTAGTTCAAAATCATCAGCGTGCCAGGTTACGTGAGCATACACATTCCCCTCTTGGTGCAGACAGTTTCAAATCAACAATGTTGCAGTTTTGTGATAAAGTTTTCTTAGAGATTTCATCCACCATTCAAATGTGGGTGCGTTCTCAAATGGGGGTACATTCTTAAATGGGGTGCTTTATCAAATGGAGAGCATTATCAAATGGGGGTGCGTTATCAAATGGGAGTGCATTCTCAAATGGGGTGCTCTCAAATGGGGCGCATTATCAAATCGGGGTGCATTATCAAATGGGGTGCATTTTTAAAGGGGGAGCTCTCAAATGGGGTGCGTTCTCAATTGGGGTGCGTTCTTAAATGGATAGCGTTCTCAATTGGGGTGCGTTATATACTGTGTAACACGATTTTTGTCCCTGGGTAGTAAGTGTTATTTTCTTACTGCTTATGCCTCAAGTATAGACAATGGCTATTATTCCCCACAAACTTTGCTTTTGTGACCAGCACTTTGTGTGAATGAATGACACAAATGCTCACGCTTGCTCATTGAAAATAGGTAAATAAATTAAAAAAACATCACTGTCCTGGTCACAAAAGCAAAGTTTGTGGGGAATAACAGCCATCTTCTGTACCTTTGAGGCATAAGCAATTGGGAAATAGCATTTACTACCCAGGAACACACAGTGGGGTGCATTCTCAAATGGGGGGGGGGGGGGGGTGCGTTATGACCACGGCACCACCAGTCTCGGCGTCACCGCCGCCACGTCAAACACGCGGCCGCTTCCTCGATTTGCAGAAACCAAACAAAGCTTGTGCGCCCCATACCGTTTGGTCGTCTCGTTTAACGGCCTCCTGTGTGTCGGCAAAACTTTTATATTTCCAGGCGAGACTTCCAATTTTTGTTACGACCCATGTGTTTGTAAGCCATTTTATACCCACCCATAGTTTTGAAAAGCTATTTTTTAATTCAGCGTTCTTCGAAATGCCACTACTTAACCTCACCCCCCCCCCCCCCCCCCTCGAATGTTCTAAATAGTTAAGCTTTTACCTTGTTTACCAGTAAACTGATGTGCTTCGCAGTGCTGCTCAGCTAAGACGCGTAACTAAGCTAAGCCTCCTGGCGCACACACGCGGAAGCGTTCACAGGGGCACGCTGCTCACCGAAGCCTTCACGGTAACGTATTCAGACGTCTCCCGACGATGTATTTTCTACCGCTCAACCAAACTGCGCCGGGGGCCTGTGCCGAGCTGGGCCCAGGGGCGGCTAGGGAGGCACCAGCTCGTCTTTTTTCCACCGCGGAATCCGGGCTGAGCCGAACCGAGCCGCCGACGTCTCGTGCGGTGAACGAGTTGAGGCACGTTTACGTGACACTAGGTTTGACTTGTCCGCTGCCCCTGGCCCTGCTTGGCCCCCGCCCCTGAGCCACGTTTAGATAACTTGTGAGACCGGAGGATCTCACGGTTTGGTTCAGGCTCGGCACAGCAAACAGCCAGTGGAGATCCCCCACCCCGTTACCGCGAGAGGGCCCAGCACTGGCTTGGATGTGACCATGTGGGAAAGGGGAGCTATGCTTAACCTCGGGTCGTGTAACAACGGGGCTCACCCCCCCCCCCCCTGTGCTCCCGTGTCTGGCAACAGGGCGACCGGAGGTGCATGTTTAGGGGCGTGGCCCGACAGGCTTAATAGTGAAGCCTGTCAACTCTACCGCAGTCCTGGCCACATTAAGCTCCCCTTGTCGTCGCTCCCACAATTCTCCCGGCCTCCCTTCAATTATCGGAGTGAATCATCGCTCTGGAAGTATACATTATTATTATTATTGCTGTTGTCAGCCTGAATCGGCGAGTGTTTGCCCCCGTGGTGCCAATAGAAATCCGCGCGCGCTCCGAGTGCGTTGCTCCGGGTTGTTGGGGCCGAGTGTTGAGCAATCCTTACCCGAAGCTCTCGCCACGCGGCGCTGCAGGGCCACCTTCAGGAGTTGAACGAATCGATTGAAGATGCGTCCCAACACGCAGCCCAACCCTGAAAAACCACACGCGGGTCGCACCCGCGGCTGCCGGGGCCTGGGGTGTGCCTGCGCTGTACCGATGAGTCCTAATGAGGACGAAACTGGTCTCCGGTTACCGTATGCAAACGGGGCACCGCGGTGGCGAGATGTGAACTACCTCGCCTGGTATACAGGAGGTCGTGGGTTCGATCCTGACTCTTGACGATGCCCCTATATTTGGAGTTTGCGCGTCTCTCCCCGTGGCCGCGTGGATTTTTCTCCGGGCTCCTCCGGGTTTCCCCCCCCCCCCCCCTCCAAATTCAAAATCAACTTGGGCGATCATTTGCAGCGGCCAGGCCGCTTCTGAAAACGAACTGCGTTGTGCTGTACCAGACTCGAGCCACCGAGCCTGAGGATGGAGCGCGTGTGACACGGCAGTGACGTCGACGGGCTACACGCAGCCAGCACGGCCGCAACACCTCAACGGCGCGGAACGCTTTCATCATTTTTTTATAAGGGGTCGTCCGTAAATGACGTCACGCACTTAGTGGGGGGGGGGGAGGGGGGGTCAGACATTTGTGACGATGTGTGACGAGGGGGGGGGCGGGGTTTGAGAAATGTGACGTCACATCAAAATGCGCAACTTTAAATGAATATAGACAACACGTTCTGCTTTATTAAGTAGACTTTTTAATGAATGTTTTCTCCTACAACATCAGAGTGCAGCGTCACATTAAATACGCACTACAATGACAATAGTTTAAAGCGATTTGAAGCATGTTTTATATATTTTTTTTGGGGGGGGGGGGGCACAGCTTTGTGACGTCGTATTTGAGAGGGGGTCTGACTTTTTGTGACGCCGTGTGACTAGGGAGGGGGTGGTCAAATCGTCTAAAATCGCGTGACGTCATTTATGGACGGCCCCTAACCAAATTGCCATTGTTGCACACTACGTGTCTGTCGTAAGGAGTGTGGTGGTACACCTGGTGATATTTTTACACCTTTGAGGGTCGTTTTAGTTTCTTTTTTTACTTCTATGTTGAAATAAGTTAAAGTGATATGTTAAACTTGCCCGTGTTTTTTTGTTCCTCGCCTGTTTCATGCCTTCGAAGAGTTAATTTTCTGCGGCGAGAAAAACGGAGGTTTGTGTCGAAGATCACGAGTGGCCAATCGTAGCAGACCCTTCTTATCATGTGGCTTTTTCTTCACAATCACACTACAAAGCAAGTATCGTTTGCAGCGGCCTTTATCAATCCACTGCTGGACGAGGGCCTCCGTACGCTGTGTGGGTCGTGGGGTGTTGTTTGACCATACTTCACGCTGGTCGGTGCGGGTTGATGAAGGACCCCCCCCCCCTCGTATCGACGCCATCCCTCAGCCTTGTGACTTGTCCCGTCGATGTCCATCACGTGAGCGGAACTCCCAATATCTGGTGGTTGTCTTCATGAAGAGCATCGCACAAAGACGGTCGCTGCATCGCGCGCTTCCGGATGCGCTTCCCCGGCCGTCTGAAACGCTCTCCCGATAATAGGAAGCTACTGAGGCTATGCACTTTTAAATCATCTGGATTGGAAATACTTTTCTTTAGAACTGCTTTTTGTGTTTAGTTTGTCCCGTCCCCCGCACTTCTGACTAGCGCGGTTGTCAACGTACGGTGCGAAAGAAGTTGAACATACATCGCAATGTGTGATTTCCACCACTTTTATGTGGCTGGGTGACCGAGTATACAACCTGCTCGACGATGAGCCAGTGTGCACGAAGTCCACCGTTTGCTTCCTGCCTCAGATGCCCCTAATTTCCGTAGTCTCGTTGGCAAAGCATAACGGAAAAGCCAGAAAAAATGGAAATATAAACAAGCCCCCACGGCACGATTTGTAAGAGAGTGAACCCTCCATTGTGCGGCGGTGCCAGTGGGCCAATTCACCAGCCTGCAAAAATTCAACTCGATTCGCAAACAAAAAAATCGCAAGTAAAACACAATAACTGCACCCCCGGTAGAGTGAACACCGCCCCCCCCTCCTCCTCTCAAGAACCCAGAGTACAGTGGGAACATCTAAAGGAGGGAGAAACAGCATGTAGCGTGTCACAGGCCAGACGTAGCACAGCCTTGTAATCGGGGAACAGGCGGTGCTGTGCGTGTTTTTTTCCCGTCTTTCATTCTGTTTTGCCGGGTGTCCATCGTTCCGATCAGTGTGCCACAGCAGGCGGTAGCCCTGACGATGTCAGTGACATGCCAGTGACATGCCATTGACATGCCAGTGACATGCCACTCAGCGCGACCCCCGTTGACCGCCGATTTGTTATTTGTGCTCGTTTGTCCTGGATAAATTTATTTAGTTTTTTTTTAACAAAATGAAGAAAAGCAAAATGTCTATAAGGCGCTTACGAGCAGCAGCAGCAGCGGATGCCGAGGAAACATAGCCCACCCCCTTCATGACTCAACTCTTTGGTTCTTTCGGTGAAGTCACGTAGTTAGAAATAAAATGAAACAAATCACGACGTTTCGATCGCAACACAAGCGGTCGTCCACGGGCAAAGGGTATACAACAGGATAGTCAAGCTTCAAATGAAGATTGCCCCCTTCATTCTCTCAGCCTATGAGAGCGACGTATGGCTCTGAGCCAACCAGTCCTCTGCCTCCCGCAATTCGATTATCACGATTTGTCGTCACGATTACATAAACAAAAACGTATTTTGACTGAAAGCTTTCGTGACTGCAGGAATTGATATTCTTTGGGTCTTTCGGTAAAGTCACGTAGATAGGGTTTTCCAGTGTTAGCCGGACGAGAACTCACGAGATCAGGATATAGAGTCTCAGTCTCCACCTAAAAGAAACCTCGCCACAGAAATGTAGACTGGCGCGGGCATCGCTGAGATCACGGAGGCCCTGAAGCCGCCTCCTAGAGAATGGCCCGGATTGGGAGCGCAACAGTTCCTCCAATCTCGTCTCCCACCGCTGCCTTGTAGCAGGAGTACACTGGGATGCACTCGTGAGTACAGTGCGTAATACTTACCGATGTCACAATACATTCTTGTGAAAGAACGTTTACCATCTGCATTGTTGTTAGCGCTGTTACCGATACCCCACCGAAGCTCTCATTTATAGGTCGTACGAATGGAATAATGCTGTCGGGGAACGCATCCCCCATATGGACACTGGGGTACAGTGATCCCTCTAAGCGCTGATTCGATTAGCGCTTGCTTCCCCAGGAATGGCGCATATTGAGGAACGGTGTGCCGAGGTCTGCCTGACTATACCAAGCTCATCCTCTAAAGCGAATCCTTTTTGCTGTCGCTTGTCCTCCTTTCGTTATTTCACCATTCGGGTCCCGATGCCACAACTGCTCGCGAACTAAATCGTACGCCACTGCACTTGTTTTGATCAATAATCTTAAACCCTTTCCCGTTTCGAGACGTCTGCAAGTTGCAGGGCGGGTGTCCCGTTCACCGCTCAATCTCGGAACGCGCAAGTGGCGTGGCGATCATTTTATTGAGAGAGGCGTAGTAGCGCCGCTGTTTTTAAAGACATTGTT